AGGTATTCCATTTTTCTTTGGTGAATTAATCTGTTAAAATATTTTCTTCATTTTTTTTTGTGTTTTTTTTTGAGACAGAGTCTCACTTTTGTTGCCCAGGCTAGAGTGAGTGCCGTAGCGTCAGCCTAGCTCACAGCAACCTCACACTCCTGGGCTCAAGCAATTCTTCTGCCTCAGCCTCCCTAGTAGCTGGGACTACAGGCATGCGCCACCATGCGCTGCTAATTTTTTCTATATATATTAGTTGGCCAATTAATTTCTTTCTATTTATAGTAGAGACGGGATCTTGCTCTTGCTCAGGCTGATTTCAAATTCCTGACCTCGAGCTATCCGCCCGCCTCTGCCTCCCAGAGTGCTAGGATTACAGGTGTGAGCCACCGCGCATGGCCCCTCTCTTTTTTCTTATACCAGTTTGGCTGGACTTCCCCCCCCCCCCCATTCTATCAATCTCCTTGAAAAGCTAGTCTTTTGACTCAATCTCCTTGAAAAGCTAGTCATTTGACTTCTGCTCATTTTGGGTTTAATTTGCTTTGCTTTTCTAGTTTCTTAAGGTAAAAGCTTAGATCATTGATTTTAAAGGTGTACAAATTTCTTTTTAGGCTTTTTTTTTTTTTTTTTTTGGTCTGAGTCTCACTTTGTCGCCCAGGCTAGAGTGCAGTGGCATCATCATAGCTCATGCAACCTCACACTACTGGGCTCAAGTGATCCTCCTGCCTCAGCCTCCCTAGTAGCTCAGACTACAGGTGTGCACCATCACACCTGGTTAACTTTTCTACTTTTTATAGAGATGGGGTCTTGCTGTTGCTCAGGTTGGCTTTTTAAGCACTTTTTAAAGCTACAGCTCTATCCCACCATTTCTGAAATGTCATGTTTACACTTTAGTCAGTTTAAAATATTTCTTAATTCCCTGTGATTTCTTCTTTGACTTATGGGTTATTTAGAAATGCATGTTTAATTTCTAATTATTTGAGGATTTTCCAAATACCTTTCTGTTATTGATTTTCAACTTAATTCTTTTGTGGTCAGAGAACATACTTTGTATGATGTGAAACCTCTTAAATTTACCAAGATGAGTTTTATGGCCAAATAGTTTATTTGGTAAAGGTCCTGTGTACACTTGAAATTATGCGGTTTTTGGGTGGAGTGTTCTATAAATGCCAATTAGGTCAAGTTGGTTGATGGCGATCAAGTCTTCTGTATTCTTGCTGATTATCTGCCTACTTGTTTCAATTATTGAGAGAGGAGTGTTGAAATCTTTAACTATAATTATAGATTACTTTTCCTTTCAGTTTTATTAGTATTGGAGCAGAGGTTTTGTTTTTCATTTTAATTTCTCAGATGACTTGAAGAGGAAGCCAATATTGAGAATCTCTGTTCCATACCGATACTCCTTGACTTACAATGGGGTTACTTCCTGATAAACCCATCATAAGTGGAAAGTATCTTAAGTTGAAAATCCATTCAATACCTCTAACCTAACCTCTAACATCATAGCTTAGGCTAGCCCGCCTTAAACATGCTCAGAACAGTTATATTAGCCTGCCGTTGGGCAAATCACCTAACACAAAGCCTATTTTATAATAAAGTGTTGATATCTCACATAATTTATTGACTACAATACTGAAAGAGAAAAACAGAATAGTTGTATAAGTACTCGAAGTACACTTTTTACTGAATGCATATGGCTTTTGCGCCATTACAAAGTTGAAAAATTGTAAGTCAAACCATTGTAAGTCAGAGACCATCTGTACTAAAGTACTTATCCAGTTGTCTAGGAAAGCCTTTGGAGTATGTTGTCAACATTTCATCAGCATCCCCTGGGTACAAAACACTGTGCAGTGCCAGCAAACAACAGGTCATGTGAGTGATCTAGTGTGCAGAGGCAGAGTGCTGAGTTTCAGCTCCTCCTCTTCTGCTGTCAGCCTGGCAGTTTCCTCTTTTGCAAGATGAAGCCAGTATCTCCTGCCTACTTCCTAGAATATAGAAAGGCAACAAATAACATTCTATCTTTTGTTCAGGTATGGTGGCTCATGCCTGTAATCCTAGCACTCTGGGAGGCCGAAGCGGGCAGATAGCTCAAGGTCAGGAGTTTGAAACCAGCCTGAGCAAAAGTGGCTGGCTCTACTATAAATAGAAAGAAATTAATTGGCCAATTAAAAATATGTAGAAAAAAATAAGCTGGGCATGGTGGCACATGCCTGTAGTCCCAGCTACTCAGGAGGCTGAGGCAGCAGGATTGCTTGAGCCCAGGAGTTTGAGGTTGCTGTGAGCTAGGCTCATGCCACGGCACTCTAGCCCAGGAAACAGAGTGAGACTCTGTCAAAAAAAAAAAAAAATTCTATCTTTTATCATTGGGGGAAAAAAGAAATTCTACAAAATGATCTTTAATGATATTTATTTTCCATAATTGCATTTTTATACATGGTTTCTTTAGAGAAGAAAAATATTGACTAAAAAATCTCCAGGTACTCTTTATCCTACTTAATACTAGCAGGGAAATTCATGTGTAACAGCAGTATACTCCAAATAACTGTTAACAGCCTTTCCAGTGGTAAAGTCATTAAACAATAATCTTTTAATCTTCCATTAATCCTCCCATTTTCCTTCACTTCATCCTACACAGCGACTTTGACTAAGAAAAAACATTCTGGCAGAAAAATTATGACAAACAGTACTGACACTTTAGACCACAGCCTTCTATTTTTCTTCTCCTTGTATACTCCTCTTCCTCCTCCTTTTAAACCATTTTCAGAGTAATTTTACTCACATTACAAATTATGTAACTTTTATGACAGTTGTGCAAGGTAGGCAGAACAGGTGTTACTGTATTACTCCACATTTTTCAGCAGAAAAAAACTAAAGCAGGTAAAGTGAGATTGCACAAAGAACTAGCCTATAATTTTGCAAGCACACTTTTTTCAGCCAAGGGGAAGGAAGAATGAGCACAAATGTAGGCAGGAAAACCAGAGATCTTGAGACAGCCCCAGGAGGCACTTTAGAGATTCGCTAGGCAGAAGGCCACGAGAGGCAGAAGGGAATATTTGGAGGTGAAACGGGGAAACTCGCTTGTCCTAGGGAACTAGAGAGTGTGACAAGAGTCCAGGATTGACAGGCAGGAGACATGAGTTCTGGCCTCATTGTGCCATTAAGCTTCAGACAACCCACAAAGCCATCAACATTTGCACTTTCATGTCCACAAGCATTTCAAACTCATGTCTGAAAGTATTTCCCTTTTTCCATCCACTCCCTGCCTTCCTTCTCTCCTCTGGGAGCCAACTAAATAAACAGCTCAGGGCAGGATCCTGGGAATCATCCTTCTCCCTTTCTTTATCTCCTGGGTCTTCTCAATTACCAAATTCTGCTACAAATCTTTCAGATCCATCTCCTTCTCCCCATTTCTTCTGCCTCAACTGTCTTAGTTCAGACCCACACTCTCCCTGGCCTGGGTTAAGGTACTGCAGTTATCTAACAGGTCTCCTGGCTTCCACTGCTTGTCCTGTTTTAAACCTATCTGCCACCCTGCCAGGCACCACGGAGAGCTTTCTAAAACAGAAATTGTATGTCATTGCTCTATTTATTATTCATTGCTCTCCGCCACCAGAAGGATGAAGCCTAAAGTCCCAAGCTGTCCCAATCTATTTGTGATTTGGCTCTGCCTTCTTCTCACACTTCATCTCTCTCCACTCATAACTTCAGCTAAGCCCAGGTTTTGAGTTCCTTCAATGCCACCTTTGGCTTTGACAAGAATGGTTCACTCTTCCTGGAAGTGCCCCTCCTTCCTCTCCCCTTTGCCTGGCTAAAATTAACTCACATTCTGGACTGGCTCAGGCTGAAATTCTTCCTGGCACCCCTTTTATATTTCCCTTTGGTACTCCCATAATATCCTGGGCAAACAAGAGTCACTATTCATCCTGAACTATATTTGCTCACACATCTGTGTCCCGCACTAAGCTATGAGCTGCGGGATGGCAGGGACACTGTCCTGTCCAGTGTTTGGTATTAAATATTAATCCAACAGATATTTGAGGACCTACGAGATGCCAAATGTTATAGGTATAAGGGACATAGCAGTGAACAAACCAAAGATACTTCTTGCTGTCAAGTGGGAGGCAACATAATGAATAAATAAATGAACAGATAAATAAGCAAGACAATATGAGAGAATGAAAAGCGCTATGCAGAGAATTAAAATAAACCACGATATGAAAGTGACTGGAGGGGTACTTCAGATTGGCCATGTCAGGAAGTTCCCTCAGGAGAAGTAACATTTAAGCTGTCAAGTGAATCTCAACGAGGCAGGCATTCTGAGTTTCAGAGAGAAGCGCATTCCATCCAAGAGGACTACCAGCACAAAGGCCAGAGGGACCAAAGAAGACCCTTAGTGCATGGGAAAAGCAATAAAGATGGGGATAGAAAGGAAGGCAGGGGCCAGACTGTGTGTAAACTTTGTAGGCCAGAGTAGAGTTTTGATTTTGTTCCAAGTATAATGAGGAGTGACATGATCTGATTTATGTTTTATAAAAGATCACTCTGGGACTTGTGTGTGGCTAATGGGCTGTCCAGAGGGGAAAGTGAGTCCAGTTTGTTGGAGAGAAGCGTTGGTGGCCAGGACAGGGCTGGTGGTTTTGAAGGAAGTGGATGGATTTCCATTACGTGTGTGAGTTAGCCTCACCAAGACCTACTGATAGCCAGATGAATCAAGGATGACCCTCAGATTTCTGGCTCGATGGAGCATTTGGGTAATTACCGCAGACCCAAGCAGACGCTCAGCCACTTCTAGAACGAGGGCCTTGAGAGAGTCCCTTCGCCTGCGGGCTCCGGCAAGACTTAAAGCAAGGCATGTGGAGAGCGACACGCCCAGGCCGGCAGCAAGCGGCGCCCCGCCGCCCGGACGCAGAGAGAGGGCGCCCGCCCGCGCGCGCCGGCTAGCCAGGGACTCTCCGAGCCGCGCCGGGGGTTTCCGCAGCTCGCGGGCGGGGCCGGAAGAGGAAGTGGGCGCTGCCGTGGCGGCCCCGGCGGCACAGCTGTCCCGGCCCAGCACGCCCGCCCGCCCTAGTAACGCCAGGCCACGGAGGCAGCCGGCGACAGCACCCGGAGCCTCCCCCCGAGCCGCGCCGCCCCGCGCCGCAGCGCCCGGCACCCGCCAGCCCGATGGGACCGCAGCGGCGGCTGCTCCCCGCCGCGGCCGCCCTGCTCTGGGGCTTCCTGCTCCCGCTGGTAAGGGGGGCGGACGGGCCTCCGCGGGGCGGGGCGGCGCCGGGGCTCCTTCCCCTTCCCCTCCCCACCCGCTCCCGCGCCTACGCGGCCTGCTCCCCTTGCCCCCGAGCATCCTCCTCCCCTTCTCCTCCCCTTCCCGTTACTCACCTCTTCCTTCCAGCCTCCTGTGTTTCTCCCTCTGTCCCCCAGTGCTCCTGCCCGCCACCCCCGCTCCTGGCGAAATACCTGCCCCCCACAAAGATATCTGCAGAGCGCCTTATGCTACATTGACATTGGCGCTGCTTCATAGTTTTTCACTGTCCTGGCATTTTTAAAAAATTCATCTCTGGGTTTTATTGTCTAAGCCTTTCTTACGGCTTCTTAACCTCTTTCTCCCAGTAAGAAAAATATATATTTATATATAAAGGGCCTCAGGGCGTTTAGCTGTTCCAGGACTAGACTTTCATTGCACCAATACAGATTTCTTTTTTTATTCCCATCCCCTCCTGTAGTTCCTGCTTCGCCTTAGGGCTCCTTTGGTGGTGTTCTGAGGGTTTGTTTTGTAATAGTAATAATTTAAAATAACTTTTAAAAGAACACCCCAAAGTGTAATGACGTTAGTGGTTTTCAGTTTTCTGCCTAGTTTAAAGGGATGTGAGTGGGCTAAGTAAAAATGACAAATATGTGTTCATAAGTTTGGTTTCATAATTACAGAAAAGCAATAATGTTTTAAAATTCAGCGTCAAGGAATTCGAGCTTCGGTTGGGGGCCAGAAAGCCAGTGTTTCAGTTTTTGTTTCTAGTGTCTTTCACTTAGGGAGTTTCAGGTTGGAAACTTTTATGAGTAGTATTTATACAGAATTGGTGTGGTGTCAGCCTGTCCAGTTCTTTCCATTAGAATGTGTAATTTCTCTGAAAGAGTATGTTTTGTTTACTCTCCAGTTTAAAGGGTTAGTATTGATGAATATATTCATATGAAAGTGTCTTTAACATTTATGGAGATACCAAAATCTAAACCAAAACAGTATTTGGTGCCTTCGGTGCATTCATAGTTTTGCTAGGCAACATTAGGAACATGAATGAGAGAATGTATTAAAAGATTGCTTGGGGGTGAGGAGTATAATATAAAAAGAATAACAAAATAGCAGTGTTAGTCTGAGTCTTTGAGGTGTTTACTGTGTAATCAAACAAAGTTATGGAAATGTTTTTGCACTCATTTGAATCTTTTAAGGTGATGATAATAATGAATACATATATCACATTCCCACTAATCCTTTCTCAACATAAACTAACAAATAGCCCAATAATACACCAGTTCGTCATAAATTCACATGGACATACTTATTAAAAGCCCTGTCCTCCCTTCCCCCCAACACAAAAAATTTAAGCAAAATAGTCATATGATTTCATAGGGTTCACAAATCTAAAAGTCAACCCGACTCTAAATTATATTAATAGCTAGCAAGTCTTTCCCACATTACAGATTTTAAAATTACATCTATGTAGTTTGTTGTATCTCACCATTGTTAATCTTGGGTTCTATATTCCTCAGTTTCAGGGATATTGTGGGGATTAGGTAATAGTCTTTTACTCTGCAAATATTTGATGTGCATCTATTATGTGCCAGGGACTGTGCTGGTAACTATGAATAAACCGACAAGATCTCTTTAAGTTGTAAAGATTTTTTTACTACCAACTAGTATCGATTTTCTATTTCTTATTGATTTCTCTATGGATCTGTTTTCTTCTTAACTCATCCTTTAATTTCCTGAGGTCTCTTTCTCATTCCTTTTCATTTCTGAAGAACTTGGATAAATCTGGTTTCCTTTTCCTCAGCTAGAGTTCTCCTTTCTTCTTTCTTGGTAGATACCTGGTTCCTTTCCTCCAACACCATGTGAAGTCTTGTACCATTTTCTCCCTGAAGCCCTTGTTTATTCCTCGTTCCTAATCTAACAGTTCCAGGTAGCCTCTCTGAGTTTATTTGAATGAATGATAACAGCTCAGTCGTTTCATTTCTGCTTTCTGGGCTGTAAAAGCTGCCACTGCTTCCCCTTAGTCATGTAATAACAGGGCCAACATCTTCATCTAGAAGCAGCACATAATCTTCAGAAACCACTGCCACATCGTTGTAGAAGAGGCAGAGGATCTGGTATTGGAAAAGCCCTTAGTGATCATTTAGCCTGTCCCCTCATCTTGATCATCTTCACATCAGAGTGTCCTCATTGTGTATTTTTAACTCAGTCTATAGCACATCTTGCTGTTAGTGCCTAGCAGGTGGTTAACTCTGTCTTGGCATTGCCATAATTCCATTTCACACTGTCCTTCCCTGGTCCAACCCCACCCCCAGCCCCAATCGTTAGGTCTTTATTTCACAGAGTGGGTCCAGTCATGGGTCCCTCTGTCTCAAAGGGAATGAGTGATGATTTGTCTGGATCTGTCTTAAAATTGCTTCAAAGTTCTCTGAAGAATCCTGAGTCTTTCACCTAATTTTTTTAAAAACTTCATTTTTTTGTTTACTTCAAACAATTTGAAGTGTTGTACGGCTACATCTTGAACTTACTAGTGATAATCAGGATACCCTGCAGAAAAATCTCTTGCTGAAAATTTGCATTCCTTTTTGTACTGCACCAACTCAAAGAATCTTCTTTTTTATTTTATTTATTTATTTTTCTGTTGGTCTTTTCACTGACTTGGGAAAGAATCTTCTTTAATTATTTCTGTTCTCTCAACCACTAAGAGAAAGTAGGTGTGTTCTGCTACCCACACTGAGATGCTGTGCTATGGAATCAATTATATCACCTCACCCCAAATTCATATGCTGATGCCTTAACTGCTGATGTGGTGGTATTTGGAGATGGGACCTTTGAGAGATAATTAGGTTTAGAGGAGGTCATGAAGGTGGGGCCCTCATTATAGGATTAGTGCCTGTATAATAAAAGACACCAGGCTGGGTGAGGTGGCTCACACCTGTAATCCTAGCACTCTGGGTGGGAGGGCGGGATCACTCAAGGTCAGGAGTTCAAAACCAGCCAGAGCAAGAGCGAGACCCCGTCTCTACTATAAATAGAAAGATATTAATTGGCCAACTAATATATATAGAAAAAATTAACCGGGCATGGTGGCGCATGCCTGTAGTCCCAGCTACTTGGGAGGCTGAGGCAGAAGGATTGCTTGAGCCCAGGAGTTTGAGGTTGCTGTGAGCTAGGCTCATGCTACAGCACTCTAGCCCGGGCAACAGAGTGAGACTCTGTCTCAAAAAAAGAAAAAACAGAAAAGAAAAGACACCAAACAGCAGTCTCTGTTTCTGCCATGTTAGGACACAGTGAGAAGGTAGCCATCTACAAGCCACTAGAAACTGACCCTGTTGGCTCCTTGATCTTGTACTGTTAGCCTCCAGAACTGTGGAAAACTAAATTTTTTTATTGTTTAAGACCCATAGTCTGTGGTATTATGTTATGGCATTCCATGGAATGAGTTAAGATTTTCAGGGCTGTTGGAGTGAAATGAATGTATTTTTCCTGCTAGAAGGACATGAATTTAGGGGGAGGGAGGTGGAATGCTATGGACTGAATTGTATCCCCCAAAATTCATATGTTGAAATCCTAACCCCCAATGTGATAACATTCACATAGAGAAATACTGTAGAGATTGGGGCCTTTGGGAGATAATTAGGTTTAGATGAGGTCATGAGGGTTCTGCTCTTATGATGGGATGAATGGCCTTATAAGAGATGCTAGAGAGCTTGCTCTCTTTCTCTCCTTATCATGTGATGACACTGTGAGAAGGTGACCATCTGCAAGCCAGGGAGAGAGGCCTCACTATAAACTGACCCTGGTGGCACCTTGATCTTGAACTTCTAGCGTCCAGAACTGTGAGAAAATAAATTCTGTTATGTAAGCCGCCCAGTCTGTGGTACTTTGTTAAAGCAGCCTGAGCTAAGACTTGCAGGTTTTGTTAAAATCTTCATTTTACTTTCAGGTTCTTCACAATTTTTCTTTTACCTTCTTGCCTCTGAGCTGTCTCTGTCTTTCTGCATCCCATTGACTGCTTACTAAGTCACTGATGGCACCTTCCCAAAATGTGTCACCTATAAGTAAATCTCCTTTGAAACTCAAAGTAATCCTGAGAATGTTTAGGAAAATTACGACTTATCCCAGATCATATACAATGTTAAGAAAGATAAGACTAGAACCTAAATCTTTTGATATTTTTCCACTAAATTGTACAGTGGTAATTTTTTTCCTGAATGAAAAATAGGACACAAGACTGATAGGATAAATTTGTGAATTTTGTTATAAAAAAGGTTGAAAGATAGGAAAAGTTATGTTTAGTGTATATTTGATAAATTGTTTGTTAAAAGTCACCTGAAGGCCAGGTGCGGTGGCTCACGCCTGTAATCCTAGCACTCTGGGAGGCTGAGGTGAGGGGGATTGCTTGAGGCCAGGAGTTCAAAACCAGCCTGAGCAAGAGTGAGCCCCCGTCTCTGCTATGAATAGAGAGAAATTAATGGGCCAACTAATTTATATAGAAAAAATTAGCCGGGCATGGTGGCGCATGCCTATAGTCCCAGCTACTTGGGAGGCTGAGGCATGAAGGAATGCTTGAGCCCAGGAGTTTGAGGTTGCTGTGAGCTAGGCTGACGCCATGGCACTCACTCTAGCCTGGGCAACAAAGGGAGACTCTGTCTCAAAACAAAAAGTCACCTGAAATTTGGTCATTTATGAAAATCTAGACCATAATTTCTCCAGATAGAGGCCCTTTCCCCAAAATATTAAATTTTTTTTTAAAAAAGGTGATTTGCCTTTAGGCAAGAATTTGCTAGGCTTTACCATGCCCAGCAGTCTTAAATCTCTGGTTTGTGCATTTATATTACTTGACTGGCCTTGTAGTCATTTGAGTTTGTAAATTCTAGGGTAAATCATAAATTCTGTAAAAGTTGACATGTATCATTAAGTAGTAAGATTACTTAGGGAAAAGCAAGAAGGCTGGATCCAGGTAACAAGTGGAATATAAGCCCCGTGG